CATTGAATTGGCTATTGAAATGGTATCAGCAAAGTATTTATATATTCCATATTTTGTTCCATACATCAGCTTTCCTTGATGCGTTAGACTTGGAAAGGTGCCATCTGAGCTGAAATGTTGCCATATATGAAAGACCGCCTTGTTTTAAAAATGGACCAAATCTTTTAGGATACAGGAAGTAAATCAGTTTGGATACATGCACATCTCTCTTTGCCCCTGCTCCTGCATATTTTACTTTGTCTCTTCCCTATTTGTCTTCAGAAGCTGGCTGTGCTTATGGTAAATATCAGTGTTCACCTAACAGCTAAATATAGTGATAAAAATAACCCCTACCATAAAAAACTGAATGAATGACAAGAACAGTATAGTTTCGTGAACCAAGATATCCACAGAAGAAATATCATAATTTAAAGTTGGTTTTACAACATTCTTTAATTTAAAATGGAGAAAATACTTCTGTGGTAAAATCACAGTTCTTCACTCTGTGCTGTAGAAAAGATTCAAGAATGTATATTTCAAAATGTTTAGTTTTTTTTTTTTTTTAAATAAAAAATATAATCCAAAGCAAATGGAATAGATCTCTGCATACTTGAAACATATTTTCTGAATTTATTCTAAGTCTCTCACTGCACCAGAGGGTTGTGTGTATGGATTAGGAGTAGACCATTATTTCACCATCTATCTCCATCCTGAATTGATTGCAACGAACACTGCAGAATGAATTGCAGATGTCTCCTTTTCCCTTCAGTTTGGAGGACCTCTGGTTTCAGCCCCATTTGATCCGAACTGGGATAAGGAGTGCAAATCTGTCACTGTTCAGAGGGATTTGATGGAAGAATTCTTTGCACCTGAAAGCAGTCACTCTCTCTGTATACACAGCCTGTGCTCTGAAATGTGGGATGCTGCCTGTGTGAAACCTGCTGTTGTATCCCTGCTAATTCAGGATTATTATTTGAAATATCAGAGTTAACAGATAATAACAGAAAAAAATTAATCAGAACTAGCTTTGCAAATGGGGAGTTTGTTTGACACAAAAGCATAAAGATGTTTTTGAATTCAAGAAATTAAACAATTTTAAGACACGGGTTTCCTAAAGTTCTTCCAAATTTCGGGCAAAGTTCAGTGTATATACTCCTGTATTATAAAACTGGAGCAAATGTACATGAAATCTTACACTGGCAGGATTTCACATGTAAAAAATACAGTTTTTCCTTTTGAGGGATTCTTTCTTCCCCTACCAAACCCTTATCCCCTCTGAATGAACGGATAGCAGATTATCCACAGAGAGTTGGTCTGAAAAATGTCTATACATAAAAGCCCTCATGGAATAACATGCTTTAGGGGAAACTTGGCTTGTGAATACGATTTAAATAGCATTTTGCCTTTAGCTTTCATATCTTCAGACTATTTCTCAACAATTAGAGTAGAAAGTGTTGGCTGTTGGGGTTTTTTGATTAAAAAAATAAATGATGATTTGTAGAAGCTGGAGTTCGAGGGTAAGTATCAAGACGCTACAAGTTTTAGGAGTTCAGCTCACAAGAACTGGTAACGCTTTTATCAGCAGTGGCTCTGCTTTGTGTGCCATCACCACTCCATCCCCTGAGAGAATCTTCCTCTTAAAAACAGAGCTGCTGAGGTTCTCTGGGGTTGCGAGTGGTGGGACGTAGGTGGGTGCAGAGCTGCTGTGGGCAGGTGTTCCCAGCCCCATAGCTCCCTCTGAGGTTAGAGAACCAGCTGTAGAGACAAGGAACAGGTAAATAGGAACAGTAAGAGCAGAATGGCTCCTGTAGGAGTTTTGCTATTAAAGAGGCGGGGAAAGTGGAATGTAGAGGCTGCAATGGAGAAGGCTTTTCTCCTGGGCGGTGTGTTGGTGGTGGTGTCTTCCAAGCACACAAAGAGCTTTGCATTTTGCATTGTACTTCTTCAAAAGCCCTTTCCCCCCCATCCCCCCGAGGGGACTCTCTGCTCTGACGAGATAATCTTGTACCCTGGTTAAAAGTGTTTTGAGGTGTGCTTGAAAGGAGTCTTATATCTCCTTACAGAAGGGAACTTACAGACAACCAGAGATAAATCTGTCTGCCTGCGACCATACAGTAGCAGAGCGGGGTTTAGGGCTTTGCAAGGGGGAGAGAGAGGTTAAGCAAAGGTAAGTGGCCTGTAGAGGCTTTTTTTTTTTTACCCCCAAGAGCTCCAAAGAAAGGTAGTTAAGGAAAATCAAGCCTAATGTCATTAGATTTATATGAGACGTGCAGGGGTCTGTGGATAATTTCAGTGATCTGCAAACCTGAGTGGCAGACACTGTTCGAGGGAGTAGAAACCAGTTGGATCGCGGTAGAATGGCAATCTGAAATTGGAGGGCAAAACCAATGCACTATTTCCCACGACTGTGTTCAATTTAAGTAACAAAACATTGCCAGCTTTTTGGGAAAGCCTCCCCCCTCCAATCTGAGCGAGTTTCGATCAAACCTGAACTCTGAAATGCAGCGAGGGAGGGGAGCAGGAGCCGTGCGGTTGGTTGCAGGCTCGGGATCGCTTTTACTTATCAACAGCTGAATTGGAGGATACAGGCTGTGCCTGCTCGCTGTGAGCAGCAGACTGTTAGAGGAGTTCGATTTCTCTCACTCCTTCCACCCACCTCCATCTCCTCTGTGCCTGTGTCTGCGCTCCCACATGCTTCAAATCTGTGTACCTGGACTGCCTTCCTTAACAGTTCAATGTGAGTGTTAGCAGAATGAAAACCAGATGGACCAGCAGTTCCCACTGTTATCTCCCCACCAGCTCTGGCAAGCCTCCCTTTCTCTCTCCTTTCTTGGCATGGCAGAAATATTTGCCTTTATTTAGCAGTGCTTGGGCTCACTGCTGTGCAATTTCCCTCTGTTGCAACATGAGCTGAAAGCTATTTATTCCCTTGTTGCTGAGGTTGGTTGAGGTGAGTGCAAGATGAATTCGGCTATTAAGGAAGCAATTAACATTTCAAGGCGAGTTTTCATAGTTCTTTATGTTAAAGGAATAGCTTGTTGAAGATATAGATTTAGCTGTTTTAGTATAGCGATATGGAAAGGAAATTTGTAAAGAATGTTTAAAAACCTGCTTTTGTTTTCCAGGATGTAATAATTTACTGTTTCTTGATTTGCAAATCAAACCTCACCTGTTTGTGTAGCAGCCTTAATATTTAAGCTAATAATTTTGGATACTGTTCCCTACCCAGCTGAGATTTACTAACCTTAGATCAACACTACAGTTCCTATATACTGTATCTGTGTTTCCCTCATGCTGTTCTGGGGGTGTTTCACTGCTCACCTTCCCCAAACTTGTCTCTAAATTCTATATGAATGACTACTTTTCCTTGAGAACTGAAGCATCATCTGTAGGCACTTCTGGAAAGGGTGAAGATGGCTTCTATAATTGCAGTACCTGACACACTGCATCTCTGGGACATACTTCCTCAGTTTCAGGCAGCTAAATATTGGTATCTGTTATGTGTTGTTAATCTTTGTGAGGGGGTTTTGTTGTTGCTGGGGTTTTTTGGTTTCTTTTTGTTTGTTTGTTTTGGTTTTGGTTTTGTTTTTTTTTTTTACTTTCTGATGATTTAGTGTTTTGAGGCTCATTTAAACATACCCTTCCTCTTGTTACATGTGTGCATTGCATTTAATTTCTCTTTGTGTCTCTCAGGGCAAATTTCAGATATGATTCTTTGGTTGAAGTTTGTATGTTGTGAGTAAGAACAAGGAAAGCACGTTGCAAAGTGGAGTGATGGAATTTGTAGAACGTGACGGACTTTGCTATTGTCTTGAATTAAAACCACAGACTTACATGCTTACCCATTAGCAGGAACACTTATTTGCTTTGCAAAATAGTTTAATGAAGTTCAGGAAGACCTGTGTAGAACACTGCATAAAATAAATAACACTTCCCGCCCCTCAAAGAAGGGATGGAAGAATTTAATTTATGCCCATTAAAAGCTAAACTTGATCTTACTCATCTTTACTCAAGGTGGCTCGCTAAACTCCTGGCATGAGTAAGGAAGCCTTAATTTTGCTTTCAGTTGGTAAATGTCATGTTTTTTCCATTCTCTATAATGAAACATAAAGGTTTGGGTGGGTATTTTTAAAATTTTAACGTAGAGGTGTCCAAAAAGAATTTGGAAAAAGAATATGCTTCTCTAGCTTCTGCATCAAATACCTTCCATCTTTAGATCTTAAGTTGCAAGAGAACTGCTAGGTTTTCTGCCTGTTTTGCCTTTTGTTTGTTTTGTTTTCTTGGGGAGGTATGTTTCTACTTACCTTGCAGGTTTTGAACATTAAAGTTGTTCTTCATTTGCGAAGGCGCAAACTTAGATGCTTTTTTAAAAACAATGGTATGTACGTATGACAATTGACTTACCATTTTGGCATGTTGCATTTATTTTGCCGGTGAAAGTAAGAATACCAAGGGCAGGGCAGGGTGATAAAGTGATCCAGGAGGTGTGCAGTATTTAACGTAAGTATCTCTCCATGATTACAAAGAGAAGTGATGAAGAGGGCAGCAGGTGTTACAAAGAAGAGACATGAAAAGAGCTGGCTTCAGCCAATATCCCACCCAATATCTCACCTGTACTAAAGAGCTTCAGGTTTTAGTTCTGGAAGAGCTGTCGTAAGGGGATTTATTACCTTCCTGTCTCTTGGTCTGTTTTTTCCTCCTGGCTAACGTGAGAGCCTTGAAGGGTGGTGGAATTATTGCAGCTCCAGGAGTGCTTGGGAGGTAGCATCTGTACATGCTAGAAATGAAAACAAAAGATAATGCAGTACCGCTACAAATGAGGTCTTACCATCTGTGTTACACCTTCTTAAGTAAGGTTTAGATGATGTAATTTGGGAAGAGCACACTGGAGTAGATAATCAGGTGTAATCTTTTGCAGCAGATGCTGAAATGGCTCTCTTCTTGTATTAGCTTTTAAGTTTTTGTCAGAGGGGGTGTGCTTGGGGAAGTAAACCGGTGTGTTCCTGTGGTGTGTGTTGCAGATCGCACTGAGAAGCATTCCACAATGCCAGACTCACCTGTGGATGTGAAGACACAATCCAGGCTGACGCCTCCAACCATGCCACCTCCTCCCACTACCCAAGGAGCTCCAAGAACCAGTTCATTCACGCCCACAACGTGTAATTAGACTTATTTTCTTCCTTTTCTTCCATATTCTTTCTATTCTGTATGTAAGAAACCAAAATATGTGAAGGGAAACCTGCATGATGTGGCAGGAGCAGCATTTGGTTGTACTGTGATAAAGTAATTAAGCAAAACTAAGATGACAACGCATTGTGCAACACCACCACAACAATGCGTCTTTAAGGCATTAAGTCATTCAGGTCAGAGTTGTGTTGTTAATTCACTGACAGCTTGCCCGCAGTGTCAAAGAACAGTAAGCACTGGTTTCCCATCTACTTAATGCTCAGATCAGTCTTTCTGTGAGAAGTACATCCTCTCCTCTTCTATGCCGTTCTGTTGTTTCATTCAAAGGATCTTGTTCCCTTTTGTATAGAAACTTCAGTAGTAATTCTTCAGGGGGTTTTGTTTATGTTTCTAAAGTGGGGGTAAGAAAGTACTTATCTTCATCCCACTTATGATTGAATGAAGAATTCTTATTTAAGGGCTATATAATGTCTAATTAATATTGATATAAAACCAAAAATAAAGGCCTTTTATTGTTTTATCTTGAGATTTCTAGTCTGTGACCACTTCTCTGAATTACGTGGGGCTGCATCTCTGTCTCAATTTATTGATGTAAGCACACAAGAAACTGTACTAGTCTTGATGGAATTACTCTGCATTCATATTGGTGTGACTGAGATTTGAATCTGGCATGTTGTCTGGACTATTCTTTTCACAGCCATGAAATGATCCACATTTCTCTTACCAAGATTCAGCTGCAATTTTTTTGGTCTCTTTTATACTGCCTTGTAATAGTATAAACATGAGAATGTGTTTACATTTCACATTTTAAATAAAAACATTTTTAGAACAGTAGAATACATATGCCTAAACAGAATGAAGGCAGCATTTTCTATTTGTCTTGCCTATGTCTGTTTAGTCCCTTTCTGTCTTGTTAAATGCCTTATTTAAAATTCACCTCTGTGCAGAAGGCCAGCTGGAGGCCTTTGTACTACTTATCCCAGGGAACCCTGTCCTGACAATTTACATTGAACTTAAAACAGTGAGGAGAGTTTGTGCCAGCTATTCGCATAAACTCAAATTTAACCCAGTGACCCTGATCCTTCAAAGATTTGTCTGTTTTGCTTAACTTCAGCACCTGAATTATCCTAGGAGCTGTTCTGGTCTAAAGTTAAATTGTTTCTTGGTTTTTGCAGGATGGGGCTCTTAAAGATAAGGCTTTCCAGTGTGATGCACCTTGCACAGTTCAGGGTAATTTTTGGCAATCATAAAAGGAATGGGACAATGTTCTTCTTTAATCACTCTTACATTCCTGAGTGTACTCGCATGATTTCTGAATGTTTATTTGATTGGGTTCAGCACTTTGGAAGGTGTGTGAACCATAGCTGTATTGTTGGGGCTGTTTATACGAAGACTAAAAGTCTAAAAAAGTCTCATTTTAATTGCTTTTTACCCTGTCAGATTTTGGAGTTTGGCCCTAGTGGTTCTAGCTTGTACAGTAAACAGTCATTTCTGCTGGAGTGTCTGTTACATTTATTATTCCTACAGCGGAAATGCCTGTAGGCCAGGAAGATCATACTTGTTTTCTGGTCAAGAGTATGCTTGTTTTCTTTGGTTTAGATGATTAAAAACTCTTGACATTCATTAGTTTGAAATTTTAAACGCTAAATTCTCTTTTATTAATAACATGGTTTTATTTTAGAAATTACATAGAACTTTGCCACTTGGCAAATTCAGACATTATAAAGAAAGAGATATAATAATTAGTATGGGGTGAGCTATTGGGGAAAAAAAAAAAAAGATAGAGAAGCTGCGTTTGGGGAGTATTTCTGTATTTCTTTTGTGCGAGAAATTTTACCTACCTTTTACCTGCCACATATCTATCCTGAGTAATGAACTCTGCTGTCCTGTGCTTTCTTGATCATACCCCCAAGCCCCTCTGCCTGGACCAGCCCCTTACTGGTGACTGAGTTGTTGGGGGATGTCAGGCTAGAGCACGACATGTTCTTATTCTTCCCAATCCTCATTTACTAAGTTCATGGTATGGTGACTTCTGGCTGTGCAAGTTCCATGCAATCACGATGTATTTGTTTACTCAGGTATCTCACTCTGCTGCAGCGCTCAGAGAGCATGGCTTGGAGCTGCACGTGGAGCTGAAGTTGCTGAAGCCAGCTTCTTTCTATTCCTGTTTTTTCCACATCTTATTCTCCCTAGCCCGCGCAGCTAGAATAGACAACCAAAAACTGGTAACAGGGTAGCGATTTAAATCTAGTAATAGGTGTCCACTCTCAAAAAAGGACTCGCTGTCTAAAAATAAAAGATGATTGCTGGAGAAAGTGACAAAGAGAAAGGGATGTTTAGCTTCAGGGGCCAGCCATTAAGAAACATTCTTTAAGTCGCTAGCTGGCAATGGTTATGCTTTTAAATAGGAAGCAATTTAGACTAATACTCATATGCATTTTTGATTGTAGACAAGTTCCTGATTTTTGATGTTTTTTTTGGATGGGTTCTGAGTGACTTCCCGAAAAGAAATCGGCAGATTTCTTGAGGGCAATGGCTAGCTGGGTGCAGCTGCTGCTGAGTCGAGTTGCGTGCTGTGTGCCCGCACCTGCCAGTGCACCAGTTGGTACATTCAGATTTTTAGGGAGCCGTCCTTTTTCTTGCCATTCGCTGTCATTTTGGCGAGTCAGACTCAAACAACCTCAACAGAGTGTGTTTGATTGTCGCTGTTGCAAGTAACCTGGGTGGAAAAGGATGTCCTCAGTTTGATTCTCTGCTCTCTTCTGCAGTGTGGATAAGAATCAAACTGAAACCACTGCCAAAAACTGTCTGTTGTTGTCTTCACTATGTCTGCATGAATCTTGTTGCCATAAATTTTGAACACTTAGTACTTCAGATAGTTATTCTCACAGCAACCTTGCAACAGGAGGGGAGTGCTTTCCTATACTTTTTAGAGATGTGGTATTGGCACATGAAAGCTGAGTGATTTGCTTGTGGTCTCTGAGAAGTCTTCGGAAGTCTGGTTTCATGCCCTAGCTGCAAGGCTTGAGGCCACAGTGAGCACGGCACCATTTGTACCTGCACAAACAACTTTGTGTGCTCCATATGTTAGCAGCTAGGGTATCCGTATCAGAAAAAATAACCTTCTCATTGGGTGGTGTAAGGTTAAAACGTGAAAGTCCTGTTTTATAAACACAGCTGTCAGTTGTTTGTACAAAACACAAGTAAAAATATTCAGAGATAAACTGAGGCTTCGTGAAATATGTCTGCACATTTTTTTCTACCCCCAAGAGCAATTTTTTTGTCTTCAGTCATACATGCACTCATGCTCTTTCTCTGTTTCCCTCTCTGTCTTTTTAAAATCCTCTGACAAAAGGCTGGTATTCAAATGATGCTTTTCAGGTCCAGGAGCGCTTTGGGGGGGCTGTGTGAGAGGCAGCTGCTGTTACTTCCAAGCCGTACACCATTCAGTACCAGCTACTGGGAAATAGATATAAACTGCAAAGTGTCGCTCTGTCAAAAGGCTAATTATCTTTGATTGTGCATCTTAATTAATTTTGAGGTCAAGCACAGAAAACATAAGCTGATGGATTTTCCCCTCTGTCTTCTTTCTCTCTCACTTCTCTCCCCCCACCCCCCACCCCCCCTCCATTTTATTCTCCCTTCTCTCTTTTTCTTTCAGTAACCAATGGCACTAGCCATTCACCAACAGCGTTAAATGGAGCTCCATCTCCTCCTAATGGCTTTAGCAATGGGCCATCCTCTTCCTCTTCCTCTTCTCTGGCTAACCAGCAGTTACCGCCAGCTTGTGGAGCTAGGCAACTCAGCAAACTGAAGAGATTTCTTACAACCTTACAGCAGTTTGGCAATGACATTTCACCAGAGATTGGGGAGAGAGTGCGTACCCTTGTGCTAGGACTTGTGGTAAGCAAAAAACCAATGATATAATAACTGTGATCTTTTTCCCTCTTTTATGTTTGACATGTTTATTATATAAAAGAGTGGGTCACATACACTGCATATATCATACTTTAAGCATACCAAACATGCTAGAATGAAGTGCTGGCTCTTGCTGCTGGAGCTAACGTAAGTAATTTGACTAGCTGCCCATGAGTGGCAGCTATTTTCAATGAGATACAGACTTGACTCTTTTTTGCCAGTATCGTATTATGCTGTAATGATGTGAAAGGGTTTTTATTCTGTACTGGCAGCACCACTAATGCAGACTTACCTTAAATTACATGATGTAGTAAATATGGTTTGGCTTGTCTAGTTTAGTTGGCTGAGGAAAGGATAGTGCCCTACGTATAGAGTTGCAGAATACTGGTTAAAAGGATGAGCTTAATATATGTTTGGACCGTGATTTCACAGCGGAAAACCTTTTCTCAGTGTTCATTGAACCCAACAATGAGGGACCTGACGGTGCATTGCTGCTATTTAAGTCTCCTTATTTATAAGGTTCTATTTATGTTATTATGGCTGAATGAAAATTTCTGCGTTTTCTTACCTACATCTGTCATTTTGGGCTGCTATTTTACAGGCAAACTGTTGTGAATCTGGCCCAGGATTCTTTTTATTCCCAGTAAAGTCCTCTCTCCGCCAGACGTTGTTGTCTCCCATGTATCTCCTTGAGCAATAATTAGATGTACCAGGAAAAATGCTGTGGTGCTTTAATTTACATTTGTTCTGAGCAGCTGCAGTTGCCATTGGCTTCATTTGGAGCTGAGACTGCCAGCACTGTTTAGCACTAGGGCTCAGGTGTCTTCCGCCTGTATCTTCACAAAACCCAACCTGACAGCAATGGGTTCCCCTTCACTTGAGTCTGTGTCAAAAGGAAGTTTAATGTAGGCAGTGT